GCTTTGAACTTTCACCATTTAATTTTTCATTGTTATAATGATCGTCTTTATTTCAATTGTTGTAACATTTTTTCATTTATTTTAGCCTTTTCTCTTTACTTAATTGATAGTTTTTCCCCAGATTAACCATTCTTTTTTATGATGTTTTTACTATTTTAAGTGTTCAGGATTTATATTATTTTAATTTTTGTAACAGTTTTTTCTTTTACTTAATTTTTCTTATTGCTCATTTTAGTTTTATTAGTCAGCATTTATAGGTCTTTTACTATTTAGCAATTTTCTGTTAGTTTCATTGCTAGCTTAGTTTTCAGAGTAATTCCGATGTAGTTTCTGCTCTGCAGTAGAGGTGGGTTTTATTGTTTTCTTTTACCAACCAGCTCTTTCTTTTCTCCCTGCTACAGAGGATATGTTCTTGCAAATTTCTGTGGCAGATTTTCCTTGGCAAGTGGGCCATTTTACTGATAGACTAGTTTAAAATACACTCTACCTGGTTGGTAATTATACACTTACCCTATTTGATGGCCCTCGCACATCATTAAATTAAGTGCAACAGAATTCAATATGGAAGATGACAATGCAGATTTGGGACAACCAGTGGTACAAGTTGAATCCCATCTTGAGTGATGCCATATTGTACATATTGTACCAAGTTGAACCCCATATTGTAATCATAAACTTTATAGCCAGAACTAAAAATGGATAGTCACTTAAAGTTCCAGCAAACTACTTACAAGTGATAGAAACAATTTATCACCTATAATGGTAATAATAGAAGAGAACCAGTTCTTACCAGAACCAAAAAACTGACAGTGCACCAAAGCCACACCAACCTACCTTCAGAGGTTAGAAACAATGTATCAACTGTATCAACTATAACAGCAACACCAGAACTAAGAAGGACAAACAACCAACAGGTAAAGAAAACTACAGCAGTAATGAGGAACACTTTTAGCGTCTCAAAATCCTCTACCAAGTTTAATAATTAATATATTTGTTTATAACAATTGTTTATAAGGCTTCCATTGTAAGGAAAAACCAGCCATTCACACTCAATGTTTTTTTTTTTTAATTCTGTTTCTTTGTTTGTACTTGTAATTGCTGTTTTTAAAATTAACACAATGCGGGTGCTCATGGGCCCACCCCCTTCCTTCCATCCTTACTTCCCTATCCTCATTTCTTCACCACTTCATTCTACACTCTATCTCTTCCCCTCACTTCCATTTCCTTAGTTATGGCTAAGTCAGCTGTTAAACAACAGACAGCCCTCTAATTCCTTTATTAAAAGTAAAGTTACGATAGAATAGAATGCAAATACAAAAATTTTTAAATAAATGATAACAAGAATTCTAAAATAAATAAATATGCGATAAATAAACATTGGAAATGCTCCATTGAGGTAGCACTGAATTAGAAAAGTTTTTGTATTCACATTCTATTTTCACGTACTATTCTATCGTAATTGAAGGTCAGTTCAGCTGATCAAAAATGTTATTATTTAGTAAATTTCATTGCTAAATTTTTTAAAGGTGTGTATTTTTATTGTAATCTATCTATCCAGTTGATACAAAATATATGGATATTCCTTTGTGGGGCCTAGAACAACTCTTAGTATTTCCTATAATACTTTTTTAGAGATGTCAAAGAATGAACTACCTTCAATCATTCTAAGCATATTGGAAGCCACCTCCTGGTTTAAAGCAGAACAAGGCATTTCTTTCTAGCTCACTCTCTGGGCAAACTAAACATTTCTGTTTTTCAACAGGAATTATGTTTGTAATCTGCAGAATTCGCAAAAAGCAACTACATAAACCCAATTTGTAGCCTTCACATCACTTCTCATTGCTGTACAATACAGTTCTGCTACCATATAAATTATAATATCTTCTACTGTGATCTATATATCCAAATGACCATTCTTCCTCAGCTAACAAACACCAAAATTTTTTAACTTGAGATTTTGCTTTTTGGTCAGTGTTGTGACTGGTTTTCATCACTTTTATAAACATCTGTGCTAAATGAAACTTTGCTCCTCAGCTTTTTGCTGTTTTTGCAGATATGCTAAGAAGACTCCTGTGCATCTCATTTGTGAGAGTACAGATCTTTGCTCAGGTAACCTTTCATCTGGGTTCTCCAATTTTTGAGCCCTGGTAACATCCCTCAGTTTACCAGTCTTTTTTCAAAGAGATAAAATGTCTAAAGTAATCTCTTGTGAATACACAATGGACCTTTCAGATTGAGATGCATTTGGTTTGCTGGCCTTCAACAGCACAATAAACAATCAAGGTTTCTTCTAATTTTGATACTTCTTTCACAAATTATTATAGATATTTAAAAAAAAATAATACATAATTTTGTTCCACAACTTTTATATTTTTGAAAACTTAATTCAATAAAATAAACTTAGACACCATAAACATCTTTCAAAAATTCAATAAAATGAATTCATATGTAACAAAAGTATTTTGTGCCATGTTTGAATCTAAAATCTTTATTAAATTTACATAAATTGATTGTTTTATCTGAATAAATTATAATGAATGTTTGTATTTTTTTTCTTTTTTTGAGTTGCCTGAAAATCCACCAGAGGACTCTCAGCTTAAATGCGATTATATAACAAGGATGCTGTTGTGAAGAATTTAGTTTTTAATGTTTGTAGACATCGTAGCCTACAAAAAAGGGTCGACGTTGAGATCATTTTTAATTGTAAATTTTTTAATAGTATTTGTCTATTTTAAAAGTTTTACTTCAAGTCACCTGCTGTTTGTGGTTCCTGGATTGGAATTATAAAAAAATGTAAATAGGGAAAAAAAGGACTCATTGTTTGCATAGTCTTAAATTTTCAAAATAACTATAATAATCCTGGGCTAATGTGTACAAGAATGTTTGTATTATAAAACACACTATGATCCATTTGTAAAATACATAATATTCAATAGTTCAGTACAAATATTTTTCAAAAACAAATAAATATCTTTAATGTAATATAAAATTCATTTATTGAATTGACAAATTTAATAATCACAATTCTGCACTAATTCCATAATAACAAAATTGTACTGTTATCAGAAGGTAAGTTTTATTAAATAAAATTCAAACTGAATTATTTTTAAAAATAATAGTAATAAGTGGATTGTTTTTAAAACAATATAAAAAACATTTAAACTAAAAGAAAGAGAGGAAACATCCAGATCCTTAGGATTTCTGACACGAAATAACTCCCTTTCAAAAGATAAATCCAAATGATATGTAGTACATCATACAAAAAAGTACTTACTGTACTTGCTTTATTTTGTCCATAACCCAATACTAATTTCTTGTACGTAAATGATTTAATATCCATCATACTGTTGTATATATTGTGCTGATCTGAAATATATATTAAAAAAATATCAACTGAAATATAACCAAGAAACTAAGTGAGATATGTTTTCTTCTGAAAAAGAGGAACATGAAAGAGGATTAATGCTGATATCTGCTATTAAACATCTTTTGAAGAAGTGGGAGGATGTCAGAACAATGGTCTTAGAATGGCATCCAAACCAGGTTGAAGTTAATAGGCTTAGGGATCTCTACAATTACAATGCTATTAGTTACTTCTGAAAGATTCTGAAGAAAAGAGAAAAGCAATAGACATTGGACAGATTCTTTAACCCCCACAAATCAAAAAACCACGACTAATAAAAATGCAAGACTGTGTATATATGTATTTTTATTATTACATATAAATAAACGCAGTAAGAAAGTGTATATTTTTTATTTTTTGGGGTCTCCAGAACGAATTAATCAAATTCCCATAAAAACCTATGGTAAATTGATAATCGCTTAATGAACAATTCAGACAGTGAACAAAGTCTTGGAATGGATTATTTTCATTAACCGATCACCCACTGTAATTTCAAAGTCTGAACAAGTAATTACACATTACACATTACTCAATAAATCTTAAATTGGCATTACATGTCAATGTATCACACAAAGAAGAAATTCTAAAATAATAAAACTTTCACTTTAATGAAATTGAATTTTTAAAATGATTAAAAATTCCATACACTAGTATAAATTGTAATAATAAACTAAAAAATTAAACAAATTTAAATTTAGAAAATAAAAAAGTTACAATGATAACATTTTATAACTTTTTCTCATTAAAATCTATTAAATTACATAGTTTTGAGTATTATTTAAATAAAAAATTGAACCATTGCATTAATTTTTGGTTATGATTAAAATGATTTCAACTATAAATAAGCTAAGTTCTTAAAACAAAATATTTTTGTCTTTGCATAATGAAACTCAATCTGTTTTGATAGCCACTTTCTATAGTATTCTGAGAGATTTGTCTTTTTTCCTGTATCTTTTTTTTTTCTTTTTTTGTTTCTTTACTCTTGATTAAAGAGATCTTTATTTAGTTCCCAATATGAAATTCTGTATAACTTATTAATGGTATAAAATACAATCTATGCTTTTATTTTACTTACATTATGTTCAATTATTTACAATTAATTATTGTTAACTTCTAATTAAACTTTTGTTAAAGCTAGAATGATTATACTGTAGCTATGAAACAAAGAAAAGTTTGAAGTTTTTTATTATTACTTGGTAATTAAACATTGCTGCATAAAATAAATATTTTATTGTTTATAAAATTAATTTATTTTGTGAAGAATTTTCATATAATATTGAGTTGTTTATTGCACTTTTCTTGAGACATTAAGAAATAAATTAACATTTATCTAATATGAACTTTAATAAAATTGATTTTATAAAATGTGATTATTGAAAGTTATTTTTAGATGATCATAATGAAGAAATGTTTTACATGTAATGAACTACAGATAGAGAGGTAAACTATTTTGAAAATTAGGTTATTCTAAATTTCTTATTACTATATTAAGCTAAAACTTTGCTTTTCTATTAATTATCACCGCTTTGTTAAATTGGAAGATTAATTTTTGAATTGATGCTATTGGATGCTATTTTTATATTGAGAATGATGTCATTTTGTTTTGTAACCTTGATGATAGGAATAACTAGTAACAATAAATGGTTAAATAAATGAAATTCATTATCACTATTCCTGCTAAAGATGTAGCTAAGTGAGAATTCATACACACTTATGCTTTTCAAATAATGGATTTGCAGAAAAAATTTTAAGTCTCATTAATATTCTAAGGTAAAGAAATGCATTATTTATAAATCATTTAGATATGCATTAATAAAAATATTGATTAAAGTATAAAAAATAATCTACAAGTAAAATAAAGTATTCAAATATAGATTCATACCATGTTTTAAAACTTCAGCAAATTCTAAAACAACACTATATAAATAGCCCATAGTGATCCAATCTTGAATCATTTCTTTAACCATTTGCTCTACTTGAGGTGCAGTTCCAGCAGCAAAATCATACATAAAATATACAGGTCTTCTTGGTCCTTGTTCCTTTACTGATTGACTTATCAGTGGGCAATTGCAGAATACAAACTAAATATAACATTAAATATGTATATAATTATTTAAGAATGACATATAAAATATTAAAACTAACATTAATTTAATAAAATAATGTTCAATTAAAACTTATCATTAATTACTAAGAAAACAAATACGATTATATAAATTTTATACATGCAATGCTATCTTTACATTTTTTAAGAAGTATATGCACTTTTTTATTGGAGACTTGTTTAGCTGAAAGAAATTGACTGCTACATTTTCATTACTGTTTTATTTATCACATTTATCTTAGGGGTCTGTTTAGTTCTGGTAATAAATTTTACATTCCCAAACTACTATTCAAAATTCTTGTCCGAAAGGTCATTTGTAAGAATCTCATCTGTCTCATAACTACAATATCTTTGATATTAAGACCACCTCAAATTTATTTAAAGAATAATCCTTTTAATCAAACTGTTATGCATTTAAAAATTACAAAGATGGCGACAGTAATATTTCATTGATAGTGTATACCACAAGTTTAATTTCCTTAAAGGTTTTCTTTAAAAATATAACAGACTCTTAAAGGAGAGGCAGTAGGTAGCACAGTACTCAAAAAACACACTCAGAATTAACAACTTTGCAAGAACAAAATGCAACACACTAACAGTTTTAATTTACTAAAGCTAAAACTAGGTTTTAGTCACCCAAATATAGTTTTAGTAGTAAAACTATACTATATAATGACTAAAACTAAAACAAAATGCTACTGTACACTTACAATTGAGATGCTGATTTCAGAAGAGTCAGAAAAACAATAGGTTAAGAATTAAAGATGAAAGTTTCAGTTGAGTACAATGTTTAAAAAAAATTGACTAAAACAAGTCTTAATACTGGCTAAAGTGAACATAATTCTTGCTAATGCAAAAAAATGTTAAGTGCACACAGAAGACAAGATAGGCAGAAAAAAAAATCCTTGCTATGTTTTATCAGTTTTTTCTCTTAGCTAAGTTAACTAAAAAGAATTGTCTTTAATGGCTCTAGAATAAGTTGTGAGACTCACTACGTAATCTGTTTACTTACTTAAATCATAACATAACTTCCTAACAATACCATTTTGTCAGATAACTGTCAACTTTCACACTTGGGAGCTAATCATTCAATGAGTTCTCAGCAGCAAAAGTGATGCTTTCTCATAACCTTCCAACCTATTGTCTTAAGTTCATCGATTGAAGATAACAAGGAACTGAAAAATTGAGTCAGTCATTGCCCATTCTTCAAGGAGTATTATCATCTCAAAATTCCATCAACCATTAACTGTCAGTGCCCATCAGGATATCATCTACTCACCTTGAATATTGCAAAACATCGTGCCATAAAGACAACTTCTTGAATAAACTTTCCCAACAAACAACAACAAAAAGAGACACTCACCACTTTAATGACATCCAATTCAACCCTCATGGACATCCTCTACTTCAGGTATTTATCACCTCGCAAACCACTGTAAACTCTCTCTCTCAAGAACCACAAAATGCTAATTTAAACCCATCTGTTATACTCACTATTGACAAATTGTATGTCATGTATCGCCTAGCGTTTTCAATTAAACGATTGTTACATTAACCCAGTCTCTGCATGAGTCACTTCCAGTGCGCTGTCTCTCACCCCATTTGCCTGATTGCCCGCATACGTGGTCGCTCATGTAACCTACATTACCATATTGACCCCGCGGAGGTTAAAAACTATTAAAAGAAACATCACACTAGTTTAAACGTGATAAAAGAATTTGAAGCCCTTGCTTGGTCAATAAATCTGCATACAGATCTGCATATATCTGCAAATCTACAAATCTGCATATATCTGTCAACAATAATTTTATGCCCAGTATCAATGTGTCACTTTAAAACTATATCATTAATCATCCAGCAGCTCAATTTTTTTTATAATTTCTTTTTATCAACAAATAATTTATGTGACAAACAGCAGCAAGTTATGAAAATTTTCAGGAGTTAAATGATGTAAATTATGATTGATTTTCAATAATAAATTATCACAAACCATTTATTAAAAAACTATTCTTTAATGAAATTTATATCTAATGTGTTTGGAAAGTAAACAAAGTAACATACTTGACAAGTTGAAACTGTTTTATATAAAAAGATTATTTGTATTCCTATAACAAATTGTTTTGATAATAAATAATATTAATTACTGTATATTAATTATATAAATATATATAACATAAACAAGGGCTTCACATTATATTCATATTTGTTTCATATCTTAATCATCAATAAATTATTTTAATTTATTAATTAT